TGTGAAAAGAATATAGGTCTTAGTATAGTGTTTATAAATATTTTAAGACTTACTGGCTCTCTAAGATTAAGGTATATAACTGAATTACATGTTGGTGTTAGTATAGAAAGAATTAAAAGAAACCACAAAAATGCATTGTTAAGTTTAGAGGAAGTTTCTTTCTAGCCTAGTGATTTTGAGGGACTGCCCACAGGACACAACTGGAGTCTCTGACCAGTCAGGAAGGCAGGTATCCTGCACATGTGGATACATGATAAATGAACAATTGCATTTAGCATAAGACATAAAGATGGTGATGAGCATTAAGTAGATTTCCCAAAGTCACTAAAATATTTTCCCTTTGAACAATGAGATTTGTGTCCCTCTGTAGCAGACATGAATGCCAAATAAAGATACCTAGTGAAGACAGCCATATTCAAGACTGTCTAGACTGACAATCTTTTCAAATACTGTGAAATCTCCACTTGTTTCAGATTTCATTTGAGTTTTGCCTTTTTTTTTTCTTGAACAAAGATATGGCCTCACATTCCCTGACAATTTGTTTATAATGGTGGTGACAATGTAACACTTTCGTATGTCACAGAAATACATGACATAAGAGTATAAATGCAAACATATGAAAAAAAACAAAAGCCCTCAGGTGGCTGTTAATTTTTGGTGCTGTGTAATTAAACTAGTTTTTTTTTAATGTTATCTTTTGCCAGTATCTAATTAGCAGAGCCATCTGCTGAAAGAGCAGTGGCCCATCTGCCTGGAATGTTGTTCTCTTCATTGTTATGAAAAGCATCCGCCACTGCTAGTCCCCACCTAATTAACTTCTCTTGCTGTGGAATGTGATAATACACAGCTTTGTTTACACACTTCTGAGAACTGTGGATTTATATATATGCATCAAGTACATAAAAAGAGCCAATCTCTTTTCTCTCCAACATCTGACTTACTCTTGAGATCACAGCTTCATTTGTCATGACTAGAGCATGTTCCCCTGCAGTATAGTGAGGCATACATTGTATATTCTGAGAAACAATAAGAAGTCCCATACATCCTTGGGTCTCTGTAGATCTAAAAACAGTGTTCTGTTGTCCTGTATGCTTTTTTTTTTTTGGTTTTTACAAGACAGGGTTTCTCTGTATTGTTTTGGAGGCTATCAGTCCAGCCCAGCCTCGAACTCACAGAGATCCACCTGCCTCTGCCTCCCCAGTGCTGGGATTAAAGGTGTGCGCCACCACCGCCTGGCTCCTGTATGCTTCTTTATAGATGTGTCTGTAGCACTGTGACATGCCAAATATTGAGAATGTCCAAGCATTTAATTGGACTTGAAGTGCACCACCATGAAGTTACTATACCAGGAAAAGAGTACATGTGCCCCTGTGTGATCTGATCCACCATGCAGTAAACACTTTTTCAAATTTTGAAGTGATTTTATTTCAAGATATTGAAAAAATACTCTTATTTGAAGTTAATACTTGATGTATGTAATTATTCTTTATCTTCTTCCATCAAATGTTGTCTAACAATGCATTACACTTAGGAGATATTTAGTAAATATTAAATGAAAAAAGGCATCATATAAAAACTGTAGCAAAACTTTTAAAACCTATTTAATATCACAGAAAATATTTATGTGTCTTTATAGAAGAATGGGCTATATGTATGAATCTTATTCTTTATTAACTTAGATTGATTTATCTACAAAAGTCATTGATTCATTGAAGATTCAAGTAACCACTATTATTGTTTTATGTTTTTTTCTGACATGTTTACTGAGCATTAAGTGTAGAATAATAGAGTAATCATTTTTCTTTTTCTCTGCTGTAGTAGAAAAGATAAAGGATAACAAAAAAGTAAAGATTAATTTTTTTAATTAAGGACATAAGACTAAGTTGTACTGAGATTAGAAATGTATAGAGCCTTTGCATTTGTTTTGCCTGCCAGAAAAAATAGATTTGAGTGGGTAGAAAAGTATGTAGAATGAATGTGAAGACAAGTACATAGAACACTTCCTAAGCCAATTGTGGGTTTTGCTCCAAAATAACGATACAGGTACAAATAACCAGTTTCAGTGAGACTAGATAGAAAGTTTGAGTCAGAAGCCTTTCATTGACAAAGGTGGTTCCTTACACAAAGGACATTAAAAACGAGTCCAAAAGAAAGCTGAGCTTGAACAAAAGAGTAGAAACTTTGAAAAGTCAAATCTAATGCGAGATAATTCCATTAACCCCTGTGGTTTTCTCTTGTGGAAACATGTTTTCATAGCTGCTAGAAGACCCACAAGGCAGTCTGCTTTGGTGGATGAGAAGGAAAACGCTGTTAGATTAATCCAGAGCTCTTAATTCTCACATAAATCTAGAAAAGTCTCTTTTACCAATGCATTTCTCATATAGCTCTGCAATGCCTAGCAATGTTTCTCTCACTGTCTTCTCTTGGTAAAATCCCACCATTAGTATGTAATTTCCTTCTCCCTCTATTCATGAATAATGTGAAGCTAAACAGTCACAATTTTAAATTAATTTTGGATTTGAATATGGTTGCCATGCTATTGATACAGAGATGAAATGCCTCCAAAAGTCACTCCTCTACTTCAAATAATAGAAACGTTATGTGTGGACTGCTTCTCTACTGATCTAATAAACTTGTGTGAGCAGTTGCTGTTTTTCAGTGTTCTGAATAAAGTAATAAAATATTTATGAAAACTCCTTCTCCTTTTTATATTTCTTTTTATTCCTGGTCCTTGGCCAATATTTATCTTGAGAATGTGAAGGCTACTTGGGCACCAGGTGGAATTGGGAAGCTTTTTGTTTACTGGCAGCAGCAGTAAGGTCTAACAACATTGCTGGCATTTGATTAATATTCTCCCTTAATCCTGGGGCTCACCCTGCTACCCAGACCTCCTATGCTTATTCAAACTATGAATACTTTACCTTTTCTCTTGCGTTACTGGGTATTGAATCTCAGGTCTTCCACTTGGTAGGCAGCAGCTCCATCCTTGGCTCTCTGTTTTATGGACTCACTATATTACCCAGGTTGAACATACCTCCTATACAGCCCAGGTAGAGCAGAACCTCATGATCCTTTCTGCCTAATGTATATTAGTGTTTAAGTCTTGTGTGCCTCTGGTGTGCACATGAATCAGATGTATGCAGGTATACATATGTGTGTATATACATATGAATATGTGTGTGTATGTGTGTGTTTGTGTGTGTGTGTGTGTGTGTGTGTGTGTGTGTGTGTGTAGTCAACCTGTTCTATCATTTCTCTAGCGAGGCCTAGTTTGGTGGATCTTGGTTCTTTTTAAGCATGGTCTCTCACTTGCCTGAATCTCACTGATGAAGCTAGACCATCTGGGGAGCAAACTCCAGGGTCCTTCCTGTTCCACTTCCACTTCCTCAGATCTGAACTTCTTAAGCATTTTTTAAAAAATGATACTGAAGCTCAGGTCCTTGTGATTCATACAAAACATTTTACTAACATGGCTGTCACTCCATTCCCCAAAATTTAACTTTTAACAATATCACCAGTCAACAAGAGCCACTGACAGCACCTCCTCAGTTAAAGTGTTCCATTGTACAGATGTGCTCATCCCTGCATGACTGTAACCTCCCTTTCTGTTAAGTAAGACCAACCCCTTTGGTAATATAAGCTTAAATTTTCATTCTTTGTATCTGCATGTCACATGTGCTGTGTGTGAAGTTCTTGCCTGTGTGATGTCTTCATGGAAATACTTGACATCCAGAATGCATTCCAGGCAGTTACTTGCATAGACATGGATTAACTGTACCTTCACTGCCCCCACCCAACATTGACCCAGGGAAGTGTCACATCCTCTTATTGGAGGTCAATATTGACCAAATTCTCAATTCCATACAATCATAAACAGACATGACACTGTTAATGTTGGGGGAAGACCAGGGTGGTTCTCTGTGGATAATGTTCTCATGGTCTCATGTTTATCAAAAGGGTAAGCTTTCAGGCACATAGTTACAATGACTTCCCTGTTGTGCAGCAGTGTTTAACAACAATGGCCTGACTGTATGTATATTCACCTACATTTTGGAGAATTGGGAAACAACTCTACCTGGTGTGCAGTGTGTAGAGGCAGTATTTTCCTACATATTATTTTACTTTACTTTATACTGAGTTTAGTTTAGTTTATTATTTGACATTTTCTGACATAACAAGATTGCTCCTTACATGTTTTTCTAATAATAATTTCACTGGCCTGCAACTCTGAATCTTCAGAAATCTAATTTTTAGTAGTTAGAAAAATATTACAACAAGGAGATATGAAAGAAAGAGGGGGAATACTTTCCATGGAAAGTCTATACACCACAAAGTAGTAGAAAAGAACAATACTTCTGTGCTTAAACTGGTGCTAAATGACTTGCAAGCATAGCTTGTGAATCACCTCTCTTTGTGAAACAGGCACAGGTTCTCTTTGTGACTAGATGTGCTAACACATTTGTCAACTTGATTATGGGTTAGGTTTGAAAAGTTTGAAAAATATTAATCATCATGATTCTTAATAGAGGTAGTAGCCACGTAGAGAAGGGAAATAGTCACAGTGCTTTGTGCCTGAATCAATCATATCCTGGCCATCATATTGTACATATTGTTGTAGCTAGAATATGCAGAGTCATGCCTGGTAATATCCATGAGTGTTGATGCATGACTCATGGTGGATTTGAATGATGAATATCTCCTAAGCTGGGTGCTTACCCTGGCTATTTCCCTCTAGTAACAAGTTTTGTTTACCAGTAACTGCATCTGAATGTCCTGCTGTTTTGACTATAAAGCAGATTGTAATGGAAAATCTCTTAAATGTCTTAATTTTAAAGTTAAATGCAGGCCCATGACTTGACATCCTATATTTGGTGCTTATTCTATACCACTATGAAGGGGTTGGCACATGGATACACCAGTGATCTGATCTAACTACCATTACCTTCCTATTTTCCCCTTTCCCTCAAAACCCTAAAGGTTTGCATTTGTTCTCTTTGTAGGCTGTGGAGTGGGAGTGTGATGAAGCTACCAAGAAGGCCTGTTACAGCAAGGGCAAATCGAAGGTAAGGAGAACAGGGGTTACAGGTACCCCACCTTGTGCTGGGAACTGTGCATAAAACATTAGATTCCTGATAGGAGGGTTTCCTGCAAGGTGAGATGTATGTGAAGATAAATGTTCCATGTTTTATCATTCAGTGAAAATGAGTCACAGGAAACAGTCATTTCACAAAGCGTCAGAAAGTAAACTAAGACCTAATTTGTACTTTGAATCACTTTATAAATTTCAAAACAAACTAGCTATGACATGGTTAGAAAAATATAGGAAAAAAATTTTAATGGCATTTAATTTGTCTCTTCTATGTTTTGCAGTTGCCTACAGATGGCTGTTCAGTAGTTGTATTATCTTGTGTTTTGCAGTAGCAGAAATGCAACCCAGGGTCTTGTACATACTAAACAAATATTCAACACTTACCCAATATAATCACTGCACCAAAATTACATGAGATGTAATCTTGATGTTCTTAGCATGCCCTTGTGATTTGCTCTATCTGTGTCAATGCTGAACTCTATACTCCCAGTGTCTCCTGAAAAGAACACTGATGGTTGAGGATGGGGGTGTGCACTAGCACTCACACACAGACCTTTCACACAAGTTGGCAACACACCGGACTGTATCTTTCCAGAAACTCTGTCTGTCTTTAGGAAATGTGTCCTTTGTTCCCTGAGGAAATTCCCTTGCAGATGCTCCATGTGTGCAGTGAGCATTGCAAAAGTCTACATGCCAGCAAAGGCAGAACACACTAATAGAAAGAGGAACATGCACCTTTCCCAATGCTGACTGCAATTTGGTCCATGGGGAAACACTGGTACATGCAGAGGAGTGGAGGAAGCTTGCTGAGCAGCGTTGGCCACAGGGCCAAGAGCCTGTGGAACAGCAAATGGAGGGAGCCCTCATCCGTGTGTTGATAACTTGATAACGAGTGTGATGGTTTGTCTTTTCCTCAGGGGTTAGAACTTACTCCCTGCCCCTGAGGAGAATGGTTCTGAGAACTGGGTGATGATGCAGATCTCAGAAGTGTGGAAGGAAAGAAGGGGCACTAAATCACAAACTTAGCTAAGGTGAAACACATGGATACAGACGGGAAGGGAGGGCTGAAAGAACGAGTGAGAAAAAGGAGGAAGACAAGAGGGGGGAGGGAGGAGAGGAGAGAATGCAGAAATTCAAAGACATTGTTTACCAAAAGGTACTTAATCATCAAAAATACCTCTGAGCTAAATACTTAAAAATGTATCAAACAATACTGGCAGCTCCAGGTTTCAAAGAACCAGAATATGAAATACTCTCAAATAAATGAGTGTAAATGATATAAATAAAAAATACCAGAGAACTTTCTAACTTGCTTGGTGAGTTCTGTAAAACATATAGCAAGATTTGGAGGTATGGCTTCTCCATTGCCATTGCCCTTCTGTGATGTAGAGGCTCCCTGCATTGAAGGCATCCCAACACTCTTACTTATTGCTAGCAGCCATGTATTCAGAGGACACAACATTCTGCTGTGTGGTTTTTCCTGAGGAGTCATGGACAAACATCCGTTCACCCTAGACAGAGAGCCATCAACAGACAAAAGAAATGATTCCACCCAAACTGCACTTTGTGAACCAGTAAATTTACTTTTAGGAGCATGAGTGAGAGATCATTTGCAAGGAGGAATCATGAATAGGGATAGTTACAATCTCTAGGAGATAGGTGCCTTTTCCTAAAGTTCCCTGAACGCCCCCTACCCTGAGCAGCAAACTGAGGGAGGCAGGTTACACAGAGTCTGGAGAATAATAGAGAAATGGAAGACTCACTGCTCACTGAGGGACACACTGGGCTGCATTCCAGGGCTTCAGCTCTAACAGTGCTTGGCCTGGTGACATAGTTCCTTCCAGACTGGCTGGTAACCTGGATGCTCTTTCTCCTCCATTGGGCTGTGACCCTCCCCTCCTCTCCCCTTCCCTTTTTACTTAACCTTTGCTTCTGGCAAGTGTATCTCACTTATGTTCTTATTTCCTGTGGCTTGTAGTTGCACTGGTAAGCAAATACCCTACAATGAAGTGTGTTGACGCTTGTCACAGAGTCTGTGTCTGTAAATTTGGTTTTTGTTTTAGCTTTTGTTAACCTCGGACCTCAGAGTATCCCCTTAATACTGTGCTCTTGACATGACCACTGTTCCCAGCATGCCTTGTTCAACTCTTAGGGCACAGCTGATGTATTCTGACCCTCATTCCATCAGTTATCCATCTTGGAAAGCCCCTGTGGCCATCTGTCTATGCCCTTTCATACTGTCCAAATTACCCAGCCCTGGACCACGAGCTGTGCCAATGGTTTCTGTATGGTTATAGTGCCCTCCGGAAGCACACAGGGTGGAGGTTGGCAGTGCTGTATGAGTGAATGAACACACTATGCTCACTCCAGTGGATCTGGTAAGTTAGTCATCCTCGCCCCTTTTGATGGTAGGGTTGGGATGTTTTTTAAGGGGACTTTCTTTCATACAGTAGGTTTAGCAGCTTACCTGCCTCTGTCCACTATAGCATGGCAATCAATAATAACCAAATTTGCTCCAGACATTTCCAGAGAATCAGTGCTTCAATCTATCGTGATAGATGCATTGGCAATTTTTACATTGTTCACTTTTTAATCCCTGAGATTATTTCTGTATTTCACCAGGAAGGTATCTACATATTTCCTTTCCAGACTTAAGAAAAGTTAACTCCATTTGTCTTCCTGGACTTCTAGCTCTTTGTGGTCCTTGTAAGTTAGAACAACAAGACCTGTTTAGCCATCCAGAGGTTTCTCTGTAGCGTATTACAAACCCTTAATCAAAGCATCCTGGTGCTTTTGTTTTCCTAGTGTGTTATTACTACTGGGGAAATTGCTCGACTGAACCTGTCAATCTACATCTCTCCTCAAGCTGTGACCTTTGGTTAATTTTGTATTTAGGAATTAATTCAATACAATTGTATTATCCATGCCCAGTACATAATATACCCCTGATCCAATGAAGGAACAAATTGTCAATACACTAAGTTGAGGAATGAGGGAACAAACGTTCTCACATTAAGTCATCTCTTGATAGCTCATATTATTTGGGTTTTTAATGAACTAGGAATAATGGCAAATCTTGGTAATTATAAGTTAATTCTAACTCTGTGTGTTGGATCTTTAAGATTAATATATTAAAACAAATGAAGATAAATTTCAAACACCATATATTGTGTGCAAGATAAATCACATTTTATTTTAGGTTGCATTAAGTATAATGATAAATTTTACCTAGAGCTTTAAAAAGCAGTGTTCCGTTGAAATAGAATTTAGTTTATGGTGCTGCTCATTGAGTTGATCTCTGCCTATGATTCTAATTTCTGGAGAGGCTAAGTCAGTGGGATGACTAAAGTCCTAGAGATCGAGGACAGCCTGGTGTAACAGTGAGACCATATCTCAAAAACAAAACAAGACATCAGGAACTATGGACAGTAGGAACTCATTTTTATAAAGTGAGTTACTAGCTTCACTAATGTGTTAGAATGGATAACACTGTAACCTGGCCCAGGAGGTGAGAGCAAATGATGCCTTATCCTGAAGTCCTCTTTCCTTAGTTCCTATCTCTTGTTCTTCCCTCAAACGGGCACTGGCATGTTTACCATCAAGTGGGGAACCCAAGCCCAGCTCCTGGGACACCTAAAAGAGAGAGAATAAGACAGTCTGTGAGAACAGGAAAAAGCACACCAAAAGTGGTGAAAACAGGCAGACCCTGAATTCAGACTTCAGACATTCCAAAGATCCCCAAGCTGACAGCTCCTAGAATCCAAATCAAGTAATGTTTCAGTTTGACTAGAATAGAGTGTCTCTTCGGAGGAATGGATTTATGCTTTCCTTAGTGGTCATGAATTTATGAGAAAAATTCAAATACTTAATAAATTTGCTTGTGCTGTAGTATTCTGAGAATGTGCACAGAATTACAAAGTCTCCCTTCTCGCTGCAATGAGAAGAACAATGCAGAAATGTGACATTTTAAAAATGAGAACAATGCAGGCGTTTTAACTGATCTCAGTTCTTTCCTACTGTCCCCGAAAGTTGTGTGTTCTATACAGTACAATGCATTTCGCTGCCCGGCCATTAAGATGTGATGCATGGAATGAGGTGACTGAGCCAAAAGGGGGGCTACTGCCTGCACCCACTTCTTGTTTAGTGACAACTTTCTTTCACTGGATGCAGAGCTCAGGATAATAAACGTGACAACTTTCCTCCTGTGTTACTACTGGGTCAAGTGCAAACACATCCTTTTGTGTGGTGGGGACATAAAATTTATAACCTAGGGACTCAAGGACACAAGAAGCTACCAAAACCTTTGATCAAGGTTTGCAAGAAAAATAGGTGCTGAGATTAAGGATCCTAAGTGAGGTCTGGTTTTAACTTGCTTCTAGATGTTTCTACCCACTATGGCTGACATGCATTAAAGCCAGGGAAAGAATCCATTTTTGTTGATGCAAAAGCAGTACAACAAGATCCATTACATTTCATTGGTTTTGAAATATGTGTTATTGAAATCAAACTCTAGAACTCTTACTTTAAATACATTTCACATAAATATTATTTTAGACACAAATAGCTAGTTGTTTCAGCATCTAACAAGAGTGCCTTGTCTGTTGTTGGTTCTTCTGTCTGGACTCAGCTGCCTCCCCATGCTATTTAGGGACCACACAAAGGAAGCATAAGTTATTATTAAAGGAATGAAAGAGTTGCTTTGTGCTTTTATGACATTTCACAATTATCAAAATGTTCTTGTTCATGATCTCATTTCAGTACTTTTGACATGAAGTTCCTAGAATTATTGTGCTACTTGGTGGGAGAATTTGGATTAGAATCTAAGGCTCTGTGTATTATTGTTCATTATGTGTCCTGTGGTCCCACTGCCAAATTATGCTTGTAAACAGGTCAACTCTAGTGACTGGGGAAAGAAATGCATGGCACCGTCTGCCTGGGAACCTGGAGGGCAGAAGATTGACATTTTTACCTATAACGTCAAAGTTTAGAATGAGTTTATCTGCTCGCAAAGAATGCTCTAGATGTGCCTGCCTGCTGCACCATTGCTCTCAGAACTCTGAACCTTCATCTTAGACAAGGCACCTCCTGCAGAATATGCACACCAGATAATGTGTGTATGTGTGACTGTCTTCTTAATTAAAAGTTTCTCTTTACATTATTCCCCAAATAATACAAGATCTATTTGCATAGCATTTGCATTCTATAGGTACTATAAATAACTTACAGATAATGAAAAACATATAGCAAAATATATACAGCTTAGAGGCAAATACTACATATTTCTGTATGAGGGTTTTGAGTATCCTTATATTTTGTTGGCTAAGAAGAGTCATATAACCATGGGATTTATTCTGGATTGTATCATAAACTTGTATACATGCTCATCTATACATGCACACCAATATAGATACACACACATATATTGTTCCTCCTCATCACCTTATATGTGCATAAAGGCAATGTATCATTAAAAGGAAGACACAATGTTTTACCAGGATCACTCTGGGTAACATAAAACTGTCAACCTCCCAAACTTGTTTTCACCTCTTTGAAATTCATGATGCAGCTAAGAGACACCAGCAGGTCGACCCTGCTCAACAGTCATATCTGCACATAGCTGCACATTTTTGATAAACAGAACATATTTGATAGGGGAGGAGGAAGTGATGAAATGTTGTAAGGCAAAACCAGGTAAATAGGAAATGCCCTAAAATGCAGCGTGTGTTTTCTTTCTTGGAGGCTGGAGGATGTGTCTGTAACAATAGATAATGTTTGTTTGCCATCAGGAAGTCTCTCTGCAACTTGACTTTGTTTCTCAGCTATCAGTTGAAACAGGATCTTCTTTAAGTGAAGGACAAGTTGACCCACCTGTGGGCCACGGACACATGTGGGCCATTTTAGTGTTGAAGTGGAATTATCCAAACATAGATAGATGACTGTCATTATTAACCACAAGGCCATGTGGCAGCTGGCTTCCAGGGCATCAGAGCTGTGCCCTATGACTGCTGGAGAATTGGGATTCATTAAGTCATCTCCATCTGTTTTCACAGTACAGAAATGGAGCAAAGGGGGAAAGTGGGTGAAGTATAGAAATCATAGACATTTCAATATTCTCATTTGTAAGAGAAATAGTTAAAATAACCCCCTGAAGTGTCTTCTACCCACACATCTGCCATGTTTCAAAGTGGTGATCTGAAGCACTGTTTTGAGCAAGTCCAAGTAACTTATAAAAAACAGTTTGCTACTGGCATTAACATCAAGATTCTATGATTTAGAATCATTGTCACAGGACCAACTGTTATCACCCTGTCACGCTAGCCAACTTGTCTATTCTTGACTTCAATTCTTTAATCCTGAAATGTGTCTTAGGCCCCAAAGTTAAGCATCTCTGTTGTGTTCCTTCCTCTTTTTTTTTTGCATTTTATTTTGTTTGAACTTGAGGTGTTTTAAGAATACGTTTTTCACACCCAATTCTTTTCGAATCAGAGGTGGCAGTTTGTGAATCAAAGAGGAGAGAATCATTAAGGGAGGCACACAGCGAGGTCAGGAGTTGAGCTCAGTAAACCACAGGTGAACTTGGGTCTTAAAGTGTTGAAGATATGCAGTAACTTCCTTTGGGTTTCACATTTGAAGAACCTATGGGTGAACTGAGCTTGGTTTGGTCCAACTGGTAACTACTCACGGACCTTTTTCTATTCCATCAGGATGGAAGTCCATATGACTGGAGTCTTCTAGAATGTATTATACTACCCTCAGTAGGTTCCACTCATCACAAGCCCTTTGAGGTTGCTAAGGGCTAAGTCCATCTTTCAGTCTTGTCAGAGAGATGATGTATTGGCCTCCTCTGACCACCTTGGGCCTTCCATGACTCCCTTCTTTTCCAACATTTAATTGGGGAAACTAGTCAAGGCCTAGTGAATTCTCGAAGTTCTAATTATCAGAGCAAACTCCTTTACCTTCTGCTCCAACTGAACTAATTCCCTGTGCTCTCGCATCCTCATTTCTTTGATTAAAGAGCCACTTGAGATTTCTATGCCTCTCTACTTATTTCTGCATTACACACCCTGCTGACATGCTGCTTCCCCATCAGGCTTGCGACAGGCCTTCAGTCTGAAGAAGGTGGCAGCCTTCTGTCTCACTAGCAGTGTGTTTAGATTTGGGGGATTTGCATAAACACTGCGTATTATCTCTGTTGTTGCCTTTTCTTTCATAATTGACTGGATTGCATGCTTTCTTCTGGACAGGTCTGCAGGAACTAGCAGTGGATCAGGTCTCTTCCTCAGTTGCAACAATCTTCCCTTGGCTTGTTCTTTACAGCAGAGTAGTTTCCTGTAGTGAGACACTACTCCTTGGGGTGGCCACTTGCTTCAAGAAGAAAATCTCTTTTACATCTTATCTTGTTCTTGAAAGAATTCAAAAGGCAGCAGTCCACCCTCTACACTGTTTGCAATTTTTCATCCCAGTCTTTATTATAGGGTTATTATCATGACAGTATATCCATTAATTCCATCAAGGACACTCAGGCTTTTTGTTCTAGAAGGTCTTGTTGGAGATGCCTTGGTTTCCTGTGTTAGTCCTCCCTTTGATCCTGTTGTTACAAATTCCTGGGTTTCTATGCCCTAGTCCCTTCACCCCTGGGATGGTTCTTTGAAATCTTTAGTGCTGTTCTTTGCTCCATGGAACTCTCCCAACCTGTTCCGTTTGGGAACAAAAACAGGTTTTGCTCCTACATGCACCTCTACCTGGTAACCCCAAGAAATCGCGTTCTTCCATTAAACTTCCTCCCCAGGAAATCTTCTTATACACTTGTCTGCCTTCCCCTTTAGAGCAGTAGAGACAGTGTTTCCTCATTACAACATGTGGACATCTATGAAGTAATATTATCCTTACAGCACATGGACATCTATGCAGTGAATATTATTACAGTACGTGGACAGCTATGCAGTAATGTTATCATTACAACATGTGGATATCTTTGGAATAATGCTATGGTCCTAGTCTTTCCTGTTTAAAGCAATAACTTCTAGCAAAAGGGGTTCAAAACAGTGAGTGCATAGTAAAGGGTCCATCACATGACCCTGCTTATTGACAGTCCCATCTTATATTGTGCAATTGAAATAATATTCTATCCTCTTCCCTTGTTCCTTTAACTCTGTTAAGTTAGTACTTGCTCATACATGTGTCACTGATGTGGGGCTGTGATGATCTTTGTTAGGAAAGCTCAAGGTAAAGATTTGTGCCCCTGTAGGTCATTCTTCAGCCCAAGTCTCTGTCCCAAACGTGCTGAGCAACACCTCCTTGCTAGTCATATGTTTACTTGTAAAGAAGTTGAAAGTTCTCACATATACCCATCCTTTCTTTCAAATTCATGGCCAGTTTTTATTAACTCATTCATATATATATATATATATATATATATATATGTGTGTGTGTGTGTGTGTGTGTGTGTGTGTGTGTGTGTGTTTGTGTCTGTGTGTGAGTATATTCCTAAATACATAAATACCACTTACAGAGTCCATGTAATGTTACTGGCATGTATGTGTTCAGGACTGACCACTTGGTATCAGACAACCAATTGCTATGCTCTTTCTTAAGGAGACTATTTCTCCCTCTCTCTGTATTCCTTGGTTGCATAAAGTTCTTTGCATAGGATTGAACTTTATAAGGCAGCTAGTGTTTTCATGTGAAGCATCTAATGGGTTGATTTTATATATTTTCCTCTATGTATCCAGTAAAATTTAAGTTTGTAGTAAAATTCAAACTGAATTAATGTTTGTCAAAAGACATCTTTGGAAGATGTAATAGGATGCACACTTACCATTGTAAATACTCAGCAAATATTAGGGTCAATAGTTTCACTGCTGACTTTAGTCAACACTGTGGAAGGACTAATTTTTTTCATTGTATATCCATGTTCACCATCCCTCTTGCCTTCAGCACTCCTCAATGTGTTCCTTATGCTTTTGATTTTCAGGAGGAATGTCAGAACTATATCAGAGTGCTCTTAGTGGGCGGGGACCGGCTATTCACCTGCGGGACCAATGCTTTCACACCTGTCTGTACCATCCGCTCGGTAAGGTGTTCATGCTAGACTTCCATAAACTTATGCCAGGAGCTGCCAAATATGATGCCTTCAAAGCCCCATGTAAAAGTGTCACTGTATACCAAAGGCAAACACCTTTGGCAACATTGCTCCATTGAGTAAATGCTTGATTTGTCTTCTGTCATGTATATGAAGAAACAGAAATTAATTGTATATTGTGTACTTAGTTATGCTTTGAAATTACTTCAGTCAGCATTTTCTCAATGAATGGCCTTTATCACCAATCACAAACATGTACTTCTTTCTTATTTTCATTGTGGTTGAAATATTATCAATTACTAAAATGCTCTAAAATCACAATTCATATAGGAAGAAAATGTATATAAGCTGGATAGTAGGTATGCCAGAACTATTATTATATACAGGGAGTTTCATCTAACAAATCCCACTGTAGAAGCATAGCAGGGTCATTAGACATGCATGCTATCTTCTTAATTCAGTATATTAATTTAATCTTCCTTGAGAAATATAACTAGGAAACACCATTATGTTAATTTATGGATAGTACAACTTCTCTTAAAACCTTAACTTATCATCTAGGCTTACTGTTTATTATTTTAAAATTTGTATTCAGTTATTGGACACAAAGAGCAGGAGGAAAGTGCTAAGTGGTGGTCACAGACAGTTCCCTACTGCCCATATGCAGCTGTCAGCATGTGACCCCATTATAAACACCCAATCCCCAACATGTACAACATAAGGTTGTTACTTTGGGGGTTAGTTTTGAAAAGGGAAGACTCTGAGATATAAAGACTTTATGTAACTTCCCCAGGACCATGTTTCCAACAGCAGAGGACAGCGTGAGCATAAGTCATCTTAACTATTTTTTAACTCAGTTAAAAGTCAAGAACCAAATTGAAATTGAGCCTTGTCAAAACATCAAAATACCAAACAAACAAACAAACAACTCTTTTCATATTGTATTTGTTGGCAACCAACATTTGCCAAGCCAAACAGACACTTGACATACATTCAGCTTTCTCAAGACTAAAAAGGGGAAATTTTTTTAAAAAGAGAAAAAGAAATGTGTATTGCGTCGTACAGAATATTGGCATATGCTTATCACTAGTATTTAAGGCTAGCCTTTTTTTTAAACTATCAGACTAGTATCGTGAAGATGGTTCCTTATTATGATTCAAAAATCTATAAATATTAAAGTTAGATTCTTCATTAAAGTAGAAAACAGCCAATACACATCCTACATCGAAGCCATATATATATAATCTTGCTACATATAGTATCACTGGAATTATGAAGTTCTGTAACACAGGAATGGAGTCTCTGGCCAAGCTTGCAGAGAACTGTATCTATAAAGTCAGAGTTAGAAAAGCTTTCCTCATCTCACACAACCCAAAGTGTGCCTGGGACACACTTGGCTGGCAGTAGCATAAGGTGAAGGACATGACTACATTCAATGGATTTCCCAAGGATAACTGGTTTACCTCTCATTTTCACCAATAGTTAAGTAACCTGACTGAGATCCATGATCAGATCAGTGGCATGGCCCGCTGTCCCTACAGCCCCCAGCACAATTCTACAGCTCTGCTCACAGCAAGTGGGGAGCTCTATGCTGCCACGGCCATGGACTTCCCAGGGCGAGATCCAGCCATTTACCGAAGTCTGGGCACTTTACCTCCTCTTCGAACTGCACAGTACAACTCCAAATGGCTGAACGGTAAGTTCATGCACCCAACCTCCCATGGCTGTGTTTAAGATACCTGGATAATTGTTGCTTAAAAATATAGTTATGCTTTATAAAGAAGAACAAAATTTTCATCTTCAAGGTATAAGACATTTAGGACTGATAGTTAGCAGTGTACTCTTTAGTAGTAGGAGGAGGAGTGATATCCCCAACATTATAAGTCACAATAATAGGCCTATATTGTCAGTTGATGCTGACAAGAGGACTCGTCAGTGTTAAGCAGTTTCTGCCTATGTTGCTGTTTGAAAATAGGAAATTGAATGCTATGTAATAGACATGTGTAGTCTCATATGTATTCTTTCTTAATGTCTACTTAATATATTTTGAACCAGAAGTTAGTACCAATTCATGGCATTTTCAGACAGTATAAAGCACCCATTTGCCTGCAAGTAACTCCAAATAATCTGACAATTTTAAAACTGCCATCGGTGTATGTGTCTATCACTTTGGGGCAAGCATCTTCAAAATTTAAATCAATGCCTTGAGAGTTCATCGGGACCCAAGTCTTGTCACTTGAGATTCTGCCAACCACAGAATGACAAGTTGGTCATCAGAGCAGCTCTGCTCAGCTCACAGATGCAGAATCATAACTATAACCTCAAACCTATTTCTAGATGTGGCAGTATCCCCTGGGAGAAGCACCACAGTTGTGTCTATTTCTCTTTTAAGAAAGTGGAAGCTAAGGGAAAGGACCAGTCAATTACAAGCAAGAAACAAATCACCTATTAACTAGACAGCCAGAGAATGAAGAGAGGCAGCTATACAGATGTGGGTCACTGTATGAAAGCCCTGGGTGCTAGCAAAAACCCTCCTTGTGTATGAGAATGTGGCCACATTCACAAGAGCGGTGTCTCGTACACTGTGTAATTCATCACCTCAGCATTTATTTGACAGTTTGCAAAAAGGTGCAATCTTGACTTTGCTAGTATAATACTTCTTTTGAAATCTTTGAAGATTTGGTGGCCTTCTTTCCATCACAAATTATACATGTAAATAAGAGTCCCTCTCTAGCTGGGAGGTGGTGGCACACATGTTTAATGCCAGCCTTGGGAGGCAGAGGCAGGGGGATCTATCTCTGTGAGTTCGAGGTCAGTCAGGACTGTTAAGTTACACAGAGAAACCCTGTCTTGAGAAACTATAAAAAAGAGTCCCTCTCCCTCTCACTGATGTTACTTGTGTGTTCAGGTAATTCTTTTTATGGGAAAGGCATTGTCTTTGTGAATGTTGTTAATTGTCATTTGTGATCTCTGCCCATTAGAGCCTAGTAATTGTTCCTCCCCCCTATAAATTACAAAGCAAAAGTAAACACATACGTTCTCAAATATTGCCCAGGGGACATTGTCTCTTCTTGAGAACTATTAACTTTTACTTAGGAATATCTAATGTCCATCTGTCTGTGTGCATCTATCATCTACCAGTCACTTATCTATCCATCATCTTTCTATCATCCATCTGCCATTTATCTCTCACAAGGAATTGTTGTATTATACAGTCAAGCCGAGCATCACAGTTTGTCTTTAGAACATCCCCATAGGAAAGCCCTGCCACCGTCACTTTGCCTCTAGCTGCTTGGTTGACTCTACTGTTTCTAAGGGGCAATGAAAATAATTTTCTAAACCGAAACAGTAACTGAACTTCCCTCATTCTCCTTCTTTTGAAATTATTTCAAGTTAACCAACGTCCTCCCTGTGGACAGCCCCCTCTTGTCCCTGAAGCTTTTGTTGGGGTGTCTTTAAGTTGCTTTCCTATGTATTGGCAATTTTTACTAGCTAAAGTTTACAGAGTTAAAAGTCAACTAACTTTTTTCCTACTGGTCAGCTGCTTTGATACGAGTCTTTCTTCAAACATCACCTTCTCCACGCTATTTTAAAATGGCATCCTTTCCTCTCTTGCCCTCATGACTCTTTACTGTGTCCGATTTTTAGCCTTAGCCACTATTTAATGTTTACCATTTGCTTCCATTTTTCAACAAAAGGTGCATTTACCAATCATTGGAGTTAATCTCTCTTGTGTATTGGTTTATTTTACACTTGAAGAGTTTATGTAATAAATGTTTGGTTGATGATATCTGAATACATAAATTAATGGATGTCATAGTCTATGTTCTAGAATTCACAGGTTAAAATCTTATTCCCCCCATGTGAAATGTCTGCAAGATGATTTTCATGAAGGTTTATGTGCCCTCTTAAAAGAAACTATAATGCAGAGAGCTTTCTAACCTTTTCATCACATGAGATCTTGGAAGTAAGCCTTCATCCATCATGAGTATGCTGGTAACTTGACTGGTAGTGTTTAGATGCAGACATTTGGGAAAATAATTTCTATTCTTTATACTATGCCACTTGGTGTTTTTGCCATAGCAACACAAACAGGGGATAATTGACTTTTGTTTCCCTCAAATTTTTTTTGGTTTTTGAGACAGGGTTTTTCTGTATTGCTTTGGGGCCCATCCTGGAACTCGCTCTGTAGACCAGGCTGCCCTCAAACTCACAGAAATTTGCCTGCCTCTGCCTCCCGAGTGCTGGGATTAAAGGTGTGTACCACCAATGCCCTGCTTAGTTTGTGAATTTCTTCAGGGACAGGGTTAGGTAAGAGTTGCCTTTGTGGCCTCAGTACCTCAGGCTTAGTCAGTGCTTGTGGAATTAGTAGGAGAAAAGAACATTTGACAAAGAGAAGAACAAGGAATGGTGCTGTTACATAGGCAACATATCTCAGTTGTAACCCACAGTCATAAAGAAATCAAAAACTCAAAACAAAACAACAACAACCACCAAAACAAGACTTGTATGTTTCCAAGTGGCTCAGCCACAAACATTCGAAGATGTTCCTTTTCACCCACATCTCCTCTGCCTCTGCTTCAGTCATTATGTCTTCACTTATCATAGCCAGTGTAATTGGCTGAATAACAATATGCAGGCATCTGGAACATTGAATTATGTGTTTCATACTGAACATGATTTTTCAAAACCAGATTCTTTTCCCTCTGTGCCAAAATTACTCTTAAAACAAATTTATATGTTTAGAGAAATTTCTTAACAGCTTTAATGCATTAAAATATTAATCATTACTAACCCTTATTAAATGATTACTGTAAGGCAGGGCAATAAATGTTTAATAGCCAAAGCTTAAAATAGAAGCTATAAAACTTGCCTTCATGAAAGTGACTGTCAACTTGCAGAAACAGAAAAGCAATGGGAAAAAAAGGAGAGGGTATGTCCAAAAGAATACCATGCGTACGATTGTGTTTGTAAACTGAGCCAGTTGTATATCTGTGGAGCTTAGTGCCACTGTGACAACATGGATAACAAACCCCTGAGTGGACTTTGAAAAGCCACCAGGAGACTCCCTGTGGATGTTATCATATTAATGCCCAGGGACTTGCTGGTTTTACTCCTCTGCAGAGCCATTTGCCTGCCCCAGCTGGTAGACATGCAAATTCCTCAGCTTCCTCCAATCTCAGATAACTAAGCCTGCTGCCCCTGGAGGACTCGCTTGAGAGCCATAAACATCCTCAAAGTGAAAGTATCATATTCTGTGAGGTGTCATGTTTCTAGTGCAGAAAACTTTTTGGGTGACCTACTTGAACCACGCCGGTTTGGTATATATCCGTGATGCTCCCCATTGTGATATATATCTATGATGCTTACCAAGCCTTCAGGAGACCCACTGGAGACTTTAAAGATGGTAATTAAATTTTACTAATTAAAGATAATTCTGTTGGGGGAGGAGATCTGTGTACATATGTCAAAGAGTAGTAGTTTCTGCCTTCCCCTGAAAGGATCCATGCCTGCCTTGTAAAGTCTGTGCCAGCTCCTGGTAGCCAGTGTGGCTAGACAGGACTCCATTCTGAGAGCAATGAAGGTCTGCCTTGTAGTGTCTACACAGTGAAGTGTTAGAATGAGGGAAATTCCTTGGTTCATCTAGATTATCATTACTGACTGCAGCTAACAATTCCCCCCAAAAGAGCAGACTATAGAAACCAAGGAACATGATGGTAAAGAGGGCTTGATAGGCAAAATTAAAATGAAAAATCCAAGCTACTGTCAAGGGAAAGAAAAACACTATAAAGCAAGAATAAAAATAAATCTCATAGTCACCTATACAGTTGATAATATATGCCTATGGGTTTAAAATTGTCCTTGCTGTGAACAGGGCTTTCTCTTTACCCATATGATTCCTGAAACTTAAACTGGGTAGAGAGTGTCTCAAAGTATGCCACATATGTGACACACAACAGTACAATGAATTTTTCTAATGTTCGTGCCTAATCTTAGTCATCAGATGGATGTATCAGGATGAACGTGCTGTGCAGAATCCATTTATTTTGGAAATTCTTGCAAATTATATATGATTATCTTTATAACATACAAAAATATCTTAATAAATTCTATTTCCACACAACCTGCATGTTGGTGCACCTGCTTCAGACTTGATGCCACAGTAGGAATATGGGAGAATCCCAAAGACTGGGTAGAACACTCCAGTTAGAAGGGACACCCCGCTGGGCTGGAGAGATGGCTCAGCCGTTAAAGGCTAGGCTCACAACCAAAAATATAAGAAGGGACACCCTGCATCCTTCTCATTGGTAGTCTTCCCTGCAGACCTTCAAAGGAGATTCTGGCCCTCTATGTCGAAACGACTCCTGAACCACACCCAATGACAACCTCACATGTGAAAACAGATCCCACCTCATAGCCTGTACCCTACCACATGATACCAACCCCCTTTGTGTTTAGACTACACATTAGGAAATACTAGCATCATAAATGGGCTCTTCCTCTCCAGTGACATATATATGTGTGTGTATATATATATATATATATATATATATATATATATATATCTTCATGCAAAACTGCCATGGAAGAGAGGCATATGTACTTTGAGAAAAGGTTGAGAATTTTCTTTATTGCTGAATCATTGCAAGAAAAAAGATGTAATGAACTGAAATTACCCAACCAAGAAGACAAGCT